ATGTATATGATTCTTAAGGAATTCTATGTGGTCCTTATGGACATCATATGGCACTACGGTGCAATTCTACGCGGCACTTCGGTTGCAATTATACGAGCTGTGGTGACAGCATTAGTGCACAACCTATAGACTCACATATCGATAGTTCTCACATATGTACATGGGCTAATCCAGAGATATGAACAAATATAAGTTAGTGGTATGATAAATGCTATAGAAATGATATGATGTTGTGTGTGTATAGTGTTTGATTGAAAAAGTATGTGATTATATGATAACTGTTAATGATGAATTATGTGTATGTAGGTTTACTGCAATTAATCTGATGATTTTATACGATATGAAAATGCATGGAATTGCTATAACATGATAGAACAGAACATGCATGTATCAATATATTTTTAAGTGCATTATAAGTTGTTATGCCTCACTAAGTCTTCGACTTAGCGTGTGATTGTTTCACACGTAGGTTTCGAGAAGAGTAAGGATGATGCGGCAAGACAGGTCAGTTTTCCTTACCAAAAGATCAGATCAGAAATATTTTGACAAAGTATGTATTTGGTTATTATAAAGTGTTGGCATGTAAGTCATTAAGTACGAGCACTCTGATAAAGTCTTTATTTTGATTTAAATAAAGTTTTAAATTTCCCGGGATTTTTCTTAAGAGTCAAGGTTTGAAAAGCCAATGTGACACTTCGGACTCGTATCTGGGTCGGATACGGGTTGGGGGTGTTACAATATCCTTAGGTTATATCCGAATATTATACGATACTAATATATCCCTATCCTAATGGCTGATCAGTTTGTTAGTAATCCAACTTTTTTTAAAAATGATCTCATTCCTCAAGTTTCATGTTCCCTATGTGTTATATAATTGATATGTTTGAACTCTGATTTCCTTCTACCACTAGTCGCTATCTGAAAAAAAAATGTCTTCGGGGTACTCTGGGATCAGATATGAAGTCTATGTAGGTTCAGTTCTGATCAAGCTGATAATTCCTCATATAGGTTTAGCACCGATCTGTTGGTAATTCCTGATTGTAGGTTCTACTTTGGTCAAACTGGTAATTCCTTATATAGGTTATGATGACCGATCGATCTGGTAATTCCTTATGGAACTAAGACAACCCTTTGGTAGGCTCCTGGGCCCAATGGCCTAGTGGTAAGACCTTGTGGATCCTAAGGTACTCCCTTAGGGTGGCTCCTCTGCTCTGTGCATTGGGTAAGTCCTTATGGGCTTGAGGGCACACCCCTCAGGTGCGTACCTACGCTACGGCTAGGATAAGACCTTATGGACCTAAGGTGCTCCCTTAGGTTGGCACCTATACCCAATGGACCTAGGGTAAGTCATTATGGATGCAGTTCTCGAAAACTACATATTGGTGTTTGGTTGGAGGGTTTTATTGTGGTCTTAAAACATGTTTTAAACTTTTACTGTTTTAAAAAGATATGTACATTTTCACTGGTTTTGGTTGAAACACACTAGACATCATATTCCGATCTCCTGAACTTGGTCCCCTGAATGTTTCCTCTTAACTAAAATCTTCATGTCTTTTAATAGAAGAAATATCAGTGAACCTCAGCTTATCCCGAAAACCAGTACGTCTGAATCAATAAGGAAAATTTATTCTTTTCCATTTATCTGCATGTGGCATGGAAGTATATAGAAGCCAATAACAAAGGCGATTGGTAAAAGATTAGTTTTACGGTATAGTATACCCAGTAATTTTATTTGAATATTGTGTGATATTGAATGAAAATATAAATTTATTGTGTAGGCGAAACATATGAGAGTTGAATGACTAAGAATTTTGGCAAAACTTGTACCAAGCAACCACAATGAAATTGATCTTTTCAAATTTACGTAAACTGCCTGTACATGATTAAGAAGTTATTGATTTTCAATATAATTTCTTCAATGCTGAATAATGGAGAATAATGATGGTGTATTAGATTCTTCAAAGCAGGTCATATATTTTAATATGACGGTGTATTTGAATTCGTAGATTTAATAAATAATTAAAATAGTAACCAAGACCTAATATGATCTACTAGGTACTGGTACACCACCCATATCAATACTTGTATGAACCTCTTGATTTTAAAGGTATCGATACTACAATGGTATCAGTACCATAATTCGTGTATGGATAAAAACTTCAATTACATAGTATACATACCTTAGTGGTATCGATACTTTCAATGTTTTTTGGATTTCCAAGGTTGTCCACGATACCCTAAATATATTCTCGACTTGGCGTAATTTAACTTTGATTAATTTGCCATTATTTTACAGTAACAACAAAATTTGAAGCAAATTAAAATAAATTTGAACAATTTTCAATTAAAAGAAACATAATATATTCCTAAATCCTAAATCTAATGGTAGAATACGTACCACTGGATGATCGAAACCACCAAGTGATAATCAAATGGAAAGCAATCATGATCGTTCAGGCAGTAATAAAGCCAGTGAGTGAAGATCCAAGAATAAGTTCATTCTCATCAAAAAGACCAATGTTTCCTAGACAAAGATGACTGACAATTATTTTGGTGTCTAGCAAAAAGGTCTTGCCCATAAGATTACACTCTACGACAATAACAATGTTACTAGGTTCATCAACAATACAATGAGCGTTAAAATCAAAAATCCAGGTTAAAGTGAGAAATATTGTGGCTTAAGCTGGAGAAAGGTTAAAAATTTCCAACGCCTTATAAGACTAAGATAAGGAAAGTTAAAGTTGGGATCAAACATAAAATCAAATCAACATGCTCATCCCGAATAATAAATTTTTTGAAATATTGTAAAAAATATAACATTTGATTTATTACTATGGGTTCATCAAAACATGTGTCAAAAGAACATATCTTAGGTTGAGGTTTAGGTTCATTAGCCGACTGAATCAAAGACGGGATGTCTGAACAATGACGTTTAGTCGTAAGTTTCGATTTTGGTGCCTTTTTGAAATCAAATGCATGCAAAAACAACATATATTGTACAGATAATCATCAATTTCAGTCCATTCTAGATTTTAAGTGTAGACATAAAAAACCTACATCAAAATATTATATTCGATTAAATTAAACCTATACATTCAACCTAAACCCTAAATCCTATAAACCTAAAAGAATTAATCAATAATCCAAAACCCATAAAAATAACATAGTGGAAAAAATAAATAAAAAAGAAAATAACACTTGGGGAAAACTACAAATATGTGATGGGTATGCACGATTCGTTGTTTGGAGATGAAATCCCTTGAAAACCTTACAAGTGAAGGATTTTGATTTTTGAGTGATAAATAGATAGATTTTAGAGAGAAATGTGCGTTTTAAAGGTTAGAGTTTGATATAATTTGGGTAAAAAATCGGATAAGAGGGTATTTATAAGTAAAAAGCCCGTGCATATCGGTATGGTAAGATTGAGTATCGGTACGCCTATTACAAAAAGAACCGGTACACCATGAATTGATAACATAATTATACACTGGAATATGATAGTAATTATCGCGTATTGGTACCCATAAAGTATCGGTACTTTAACCTGTTACTTGGATTTTCAAGGGCGCTACACCGTATCAGTACCAAATGTGTACTGATACTCTTGATATATTCTGTATTTTGAATGTACTTGTACCAAATTTAATGACTAGCTTGATTATTACAAAATTTTTGGATTAACGAAAAAGACCGTAAATTTAATAGCAAATAGCTTGATTATTGAAAAATTCTTGAATATGCTTATGTTTATTACAAAACATCCTTAATCGTCATTGCAAATACCTTTGTACTACCATAAAATCTTTGAAATTAAAAGGAAACGAGTCACCAAGTTAATGTCTGTCTCTTAATGCAAAAGTATAAATACAATCAATAATTGTTAGACAAACAACTTTAATAGAACATTCAGTCTGATACACCGGTGCACCATCATCTGCTGTGATTTCTTGTCCCTGCATTAACATCAAATTAAAACGTATTTTTTAAGCAAGAAACTAAAGGACAGAGTCGTTTTGCTGAATTGAGAGAAATTTTCCGTTAAATACCTTTTGCACTGGATCATAATCTTCGCTTCTGTTATCAATTTAACAGCGGATATGTCACAAATTCCAATATCATCTGCAGAAGGATGCAATTCTTTTCATCTCTCATGGAATTAAGATTTTGGTTTGTTAGATCAAGAAACACACCACCCTATATAACAACAGAAGGCATGACTAGCTTGTAACAAAGAGGAAAATTGCTCAAAAGTGAACAAGTGAGGGGGTGGGCACTAATTCCCTTGATCGGGAAAACAGAAGCAGCAAATGTATCGGAAAGGGTTAGGTTAGCTGACATGTAGTTATTTTCTTCATGTGCATGTTCAGGGGAAGCAAGTATGCAGGTTAACCATTCCAGTGAAGACTGTAGCTGTCACCAGTTAGATTCATTGTGTCAGGTCTGTATTCATTTCAGCAGTGACATCAGAAAAGGCTTCTGAAGGATGGGAACATTCAGGTCTTGTAGCTGCTAGTCCAGTGAAAATTTTCTAAGAGGATCTTTCATCAAAATTTTATGCTTACCATTTACATCAGGAGTTACCATATAAGAAATGCCTTCAACCTACCAAACCAGAAGAATAAAGTTTGATCTTTTACCAAAAAATAATGAAACCATATGATGCCGCTAAACAAAACAAACCACCAATAAGTAATGTATTTTACCAATATTGCATATCATGGTCGGAATGGAAATATTAAAATATTACTATGCAACATGCTGGTCAGGTTAAGTTCTCAAAACAAATTCAGCTCTGGCAAAGACTGCAAGCAACACAGATTAATAACATCTGCAGTATAATATTAATAGGATTTAACTGTGCTAGGCTAAAGCATTATGATGCAATTTACTGCATCCAACAATATCAATAGCCACCATGTGCTTCACATGCAAAAGCAGTCGAAACAAAAATCATATAATCCTGATATCTCCTTACATAGACTGAAATTTGAAGAAAAATTCTGCTATAATATACGCACACCTTTGCACAAAAAATGTAAATGTTGACCGCAGTTGTCTGCCTTCACCTGTGAGCTCTATCCTCAGCCTGTAAGAGACATGGAAGAGACTTGTGACTTGGTTTAAGAACATTAACTGATGGTCAACCATAAAAGATCATATATAGTAACAAAAAAAACCAAGTCATATAAAAAGAGGTTAAAACCATCTATACCTCACTGTTGTAGCACCTATTGTAACCTCGAAAAGATATAAGTATATCTTCCCCATTAAGCGAGCCTACAACCAGACTTAAACCCTACAATAAAGACAATTAGATAGAAACTTTGTATCAATCGATGACACCAAAAGTTGTCTCCTATTTATAAAGCCAGTGAAATTAATTGATGAGAATAAACATAATTTTTTATAAGAATTGGAGGTCTCTTTAAAAAAACCCTTCATAATGTCAAAAAACTTAAGAGGTTTAACGAAAAAAAGCGGAAGGGGAAAAGAGTACCTCAAGTATTATTGAAAAAAGGGTTTTAGATAACCCCTAGGATTACAAAATAGAAGATATAACCACACCACTACCTATTTCCGAGACAAACAGATTCGACCATCTTACTCACTAAAACTAACCAATCCCCATTTTTGCTAACTCGTCCGCCTCCCAATTCACACTTCTTTGAATGAAACGAATTAGGTCCTCATTACACCTAACAAACTCAATTACTTTGACAATACACTCAAAACTTGAGGACACGCCAAGGGTTTCTTAATCCACTCTAGAGCCATCCTGCAATCACATGAGAACAAACATAATGAACAAGTCACCAAAGATTCAGTCAAATGATCATAATATATAGAGAATCACAACAAAAACGTAGAGAGTGAGAGTCTACTTTATTTATTGGCATCTATCTTACGCTCCTTGGTCCAAATTGAAGTTTAAGCCATTGTAACATTACTGGCACAATCAAACCAATACACATATGATGCGTATTACAAAAAAGATTTTCCACATGCAACACATATTATGTAACCATTTTACGGACAACAAGCATTTGTAAAATGTAAAATACCTCACTAGCAAGAGGAACACATCCTTCAACTGATGTCACAATGACCAGGCTACGGTTGACATGTTAAGCACTACAGTTTCGGATGCCCCTGGAAGAAGAGAGTAGTACAAGCAATGAGGATCAGGGAGCAGTAATAAAAAATAAGCTTTTTCAAGCAATCAACAATCCCACCAAAGAATTTTCTTATCATCATATAAAAGGGAGACACTTGGCAGTATAATTATACACTATAGTAACTCCAAACTAAGCACATAATGGGAAAATCATCCAAGGAACAATTAATAATAGTAATCTTCTATTTGATTTCGAGGTAAGACATTTACCACTTTAATTGTCTCCACGACAAACAATAAACCAATTCTCCCCAATGGTCACACCTGCATGACCAGCCCTTGGCTTATGTTCCTTGGGTTATAGCAAAATGACTTATGTCCATTGAACATATGGATTCGCATTAGGCTGTGAGGGTTGGCAGCAGAAACTAGAACCGGGTTTTGGCGGTTGACTATATGGATTAGAACTTATTAACCCTCGACAGTGTAGGTCGTAGCAGCCAATATTACAAAAAGGATCCTCAAAATATTGAGGAATCTTGGCATTTGTCCCCCTGAAAACATAAAAAAACCCAGAGACATATGTGACAAATGGTATACAGGAAAAGAGTAATTAGTTCTTACTGCATGGTTTTTGGCAGAGTTTGCAAAGTAGTTCATCAGTCAAGGTCCAACCATGAGTACACTCTTTCTCCTTTTTACTTTAAGACGGACCTTTTTCCAAACAACATTGGCAGGTAAAGAACCATATTATCTCACAACATTGGTTATGATTATTATTGCTAGCAGTAGGAAAAGCCCCGTCAATAGCTACTACAGAAGTTTGGCCAACCCTATCAACAAAGAATTTCAGTATGAGACATCAAGCAAAGCACAATTGCAAGTAACATGTATCTGAAAAGAATACCTTTCATCATGGGTAGGAATCCGAATCCCACTTAGTGCTTCTGCATAACTAGGTGCACCATTATACATCAGGAAGCTAAAAGTTAGCCAAAAAAGAACCTAATTAAGAGAAAAATAATATGGATGAATGGATAATGAACATGTGTCATGTAATTCACCAGAAAGGAATATATCATATTACCTCCTATACAAGTAGACGACCGTGGCTCAAATACCACCACCAACTTAGACAGATTTAACTTACAATTTCTAGAGCTCCCTTAAAATCTATTTCTTTATTTGGCTGGTCATATATATATATATATATGAATGATACTACATTGAACCATGATTTCATTTAGAAAGAACAAAAGTTTCCACTTGCTTGCCACTGTGATCTCTTTCACCCGATCCTTAATGCATGTGTCTATGTAATTAATGCATGACCTGACAGCCAAACACAAACCCTAAGAAAATGTCTGATGATGTTTCTTTTCTTCAATAAAAAAACTATTTAAATTGGAGTATAAGAAATTGGATTTAACCCATGCAAGAATTTGCTTTATGTTTCATTTTTTTCCTTTTAATTCTTGAGCAAACAGAACAGAGCAACATAATGATTCAGACGTACCATATATACTTATGCTAGCGTATAATATGCCAGGAGCAATCTCTTATATCGCTGCAGTAAATCATTTTCCCTCATTTGGAGTTGACAATTCTAGAGGCAAAAACTGGGAGTTTGTTGATGGAGGTTGAACACTAAACATGCTAGTTGCGAAGTAAGCCTTGCCAGAGAATGAGTCTCCAAAGGCGATGTTCGTGGCTATCTCTGAATTAGCAGAATGGGGTTGAGGAACAACTTCATTTTGAATTGTTGCAGGACAAAAGGAGGCATGTAAGAAGAAATTTGTTGTGCAGTTGGAACATCAGTTGAAGGGACAGCTTTAAAGGATCATCACCAAATGGATCATCAAAACCCTGAATCAAGAACAATAACACAAATATAGATGGCAACGGATTAACTAAAATATATATTGAAGTCCACAAGGATCAAAGAATCATATTACTTGATTTCCAAATTCAGTAGCATGGTTTTCAGATGTAACTGAGACAATGGCAAATGAATCAGACCGAACATCCAGTAAGTTTGTTTCAGCATTGGTTGAAGCAGAGGGAACATCAGTAGTTGGAGCAACTGTAATTGATGAGAAATAGAAAGATTAGTTCCAGTTATAGTGGATAAATGCAACAGGGTTCAATAGGATTCCAATCTAAGTTCCTCAAAACTGAAATAAGCCACCAAAATAGCCTTTTATGTTTTAATTTAAAACTTTCACTAGTATGAAACTAACAGCAAAAGGTTTAGCTCCCCAAAAAGTAATATCCCCATTTAAATGACTAACTATTTGGCAAGACTTTCTACCATAACCATCATCTTACAAACTTCTTTTTTCAGGTTGGAACATGCTAAATATAGATGGCAACGGATTAACTAAAATATATATATTGAAGTCCACTAGGATCAAAGAATCATATTACCTGATTTCCAAATTTACATGTCGGCTGATTTCCAAATTTAGTAGTATGGTTTTCAGGTGTAACTGGGACAATGGCAACGGAATCAAACCGAACATCCAATAAGTAGCATTGGTTGAAGCAGAGGGAACAGCAGTAGTTGGAACAACTGTAACTGATGAGAAATAGAAAGATTAGTTCCAGTTATAGGGGATAAATGCAACAGGTTCAACAGGATTCCAATCTAAGTTAGTCAAAACTTAAATAAGTCACCAAAATATCCTTTTATGTTTTAATTTAAAACTTTCACTAGTATGAAACTAACAGCAAAAGGTTTGGCCCCCTAAAAAGTAATATCCCCATTTAAATGACTAACTATTTGGCAAGACTTTCTACCATGACCATCATCTTACAAACTTCATTTTTCAGGTTTGAACATGCTAAATATAGATGGCAACGGATTAACTAAAATACATATTGAAGTCCACTAGGATCAAAGAATCATATTACCGGATTTCCAAATTTAAATGTCGGGTGATTTCCAAATTCAGTAGCAAGGTTTTCAGGTGTAACTGGGACAATGGCAAATGAATCAGACCGAACATCCAGTAAGTTTGTTTCAGCATTGGTTGAAGCAGAGGGAACAGCAGTAGTTGGAGCAACTGTAATAAATGAGAAATAGAAAGATTAGTTCCAGTTATAGGGTTAAATGCAACAGGGTTCAACAGGATTCCAATCTAAGTTCCTCAAAACTGAAATAAGCACCAAAATAGCCTTTTATGTTTTAATTTAAAACTTTCACTAGTATGAAACTAACAGCAAAAGGTTTAGCTCCCCAAAAAGTAATATCCCCATTAAAATGATTAACTATTTGGCAAGACTTTCTACCATAACCATCATCTTACAAACTTCTTTTTTCAGGTTGGAACATGCTAAATATAGATGGTAATGGATTAACTAAAATATATATTGAAGTATACTAGGATCAAAGAATCATATTACCTGATTTCCAAATTCAGAGCATGGTTTTCAGGTGTAACTGGGGCAATGGCAAATGAATCAGACCGAACATCCAGTAAGTTTGTTTCAGCATTGATTGAAGAAGAACAGTAGTTGGAGCAACTGTAATTGATGAGATATAGAAAGATTAGTTCCAGTTATAGGGGATAAATGCAACAGGGTTCAATAGGATTCCAATCTAAGTTCCTCAAAACTGAAATAAGTCACCAAAATAGCCTTTTATGTTTTAATTTAAAACTTTCACTAGTATGAAACTAACAACAAAAGGTTTAACTCCCCAAAAAGTAATATCCCCATTTAAATGACTAACTATTTGGCAAGACTTTCTACTATAACCGTCATCTTACAAACTTCTTTTTTCAGGTTGGAACATGCTATAACATAGAAATGAACAGCATCTACAAAAACAATGTAATCTTCACCCTTGGTCCACATTGACCTTCATTTAGCGCATTGTTCTGCAGTTACAACAGCATGACAAGTCACACAAAGAGACCTCATATTCTATAGCCTGCATTCACCTGAAATTTTGGATACATCATGAAAACCAACATTAAGCTCAATTTAACAGAACAACAGTAAAACAAGTAGTTGAGAACAAAGAAAAAGTATGTTCATGAACATATACCCCCCATAAACAAGGATAACGTGATCGGCATGTCATGCATTGTCCTCAGAAGGATCACTAACTAGTTCGTCAACCCTGCAGAAGGTTAATTAGGAAATTGGTTCATAGAAAATATTGTGATCTGGAAAGTAATCGTGAATGACTCAACTTATGTGACATTTGCCCACAAAATGTTCAATAGTTGATATGTCTAGGTGATTTCTTTACATGAAAACTTAAATTGTCTTTGCACAATTTTCTACAACAAAGTACTCTGCAGTAATTAGAAAACTATCATCGCTAACTTGTCCTGATTGACATACAAGCTCTTCTGACTTGCATCTTTGGTGCAACTTTGTTTATATACTCCTGTCACCTCTCTAAGGAATAAAGGTTTTAAGTTCTTCACAAGTTTATGGAAGTCTAATTGGCAATTTGTGCAGATGGCATGGTCAAGTTGAAAAAGTTCCAGGAAATTTTGAGTTGTCTCATAAAACATTCTCTTAGAAGGTGAAAGATTGAGATATGGATAAAATGGTTTAGTAAAGAAACATTGTGACCAAACCTAACGGAGGAACTGTTGCTAGTTCTTAGGCTGTACTCTTCGTAGCAACCAATATTACAAAAAAGATCTTCAAAATATTGAAGAATCTTGGCATTTCTCCCGCTGAAGACATAAAGAAAGCCAGTGACAAATGTTATACAGGAAAAGATTAATTAGTTCTTACTCACATGGTTTTTGGCAGAGTTTGCAGAGTGGTTCATCAGTCTTTCTCCTTTTTACTTTAACTACGCCGTAGATGGACCTTTTAGCAGACAACATTGGGAGGTAAAGAAACATTTATCTTACAAAAAGGTGTAGTACGTCGCTTGCTCCCACCTTTCAGCAGTCCCTGCAATAGAATTACAAAGGAACACCTTAAGTCATTCTTAATAAAAGAAAGAAGATATCCCATAGCATAATACATGTTATTCTTACATACTCCATATTCTTGTTAATGATTTCCTTCAAGTAGCATAACTAAGCTGACAGAGAGAGTTGCAAAGGCTTTCCACGTAATTTTCTTTGTTGGGTTTCAGTTTATTCCATTCAAGGCTAAATGTGCATGCCTAGATGCTGGGTTGTCCATAAAATATTTGCAAATTGTCTTTATTATCACAAGCAAGAGCATTTTCTATTGCAAATTGTCTTTGTTATCACAACTAAGAGCATTTTCTAACTCGATTTCCTCTTGTTGAAAATTCTCAAACAGTTGCACCGGTCTCAAATCTTTCCCTGCGATGCCAGAATACAGGTGGATTCTTCCAATATATTGGCTTACCTACACATTACAAGTACAATATCAATGTTTCAGACAAGAAACCCACCAGATAATTATTTTACAACCGTTTAAATTGCTGGTCACTAACTATTCCATCATTGTTGAAACCTAGATTAAGCCATCTATTTGAGAGAAGAGGGAAAATTTTCAAATGATGTTTTTATCTCTATAAAGAGATAAGTTCTCTTAGAGAATTAAGGATGCATGTGGGTGAAGGACTAATAGCAAGGTATATAAATCTAAGAGAATTTCAATGAAAATGCATAACCCAGGAAGATTTGACTGTCGTTGATATATGCAGACTGATATTAGCAGCCAACTACTTATCATCTTAATTGCTTTCTGGGCTGATTTTAGAAACTAATTTGTAAGTCCAGGTTGGTTTGCTTCCTTGTTTGACATGGACATTGGGACAGCTATAATTATTCTCCGTTTTCTGAAAATCCTATAATTTCTATAAAATAAATTCTGAAAAGAATTCTATCAAATAACTTTGTGCTACCATAAAATCTGTGAAATTAAAAGGAAATGAGTCACCAAGTTAATGTCTGTCTACAATTCTACCACAACTAGAAAGTTTTGCTTAATGCAAAAAAAAAAAAGAAGAAAGAAAGTAGAATCTACAATCAGGTAAAGATTGTTTACCTCAAACCGCAGACAAACAAATTGAATAGAAAATTCAGTCTGATGGCTGCACCGGTGCACCATCATCTGCTGTGATTTCTTGTCCCTGCATTAACATCAAAATTAAAATAGTTATTTTTAAGAAAAAATCTAAAGGACAGAATCGTTTTGCTGTATTGAGAGAAATTTTCCGTTAGATACCTTTGGCACTGGATCATAATCTTCGCTTCCGTTATCAATTTTAAGAGCAGATATGTCACAAATTCCAATATCATCTGCAAAAGGATGCAACTCTTTTTCATCTCTCATGGAATTAGGATTTTGGTTTTTTAGATCAAGAAACACACCACCATATAGGCATGATTAGCTTGTAACAAAGAGGAAAATTGCTCAAAAATGAACCAGTGAGGGGGACGGCACAAATTCCCTTGATCAGGAAAATAGAAGTAGCAAATGTATCAGAAAGGGTCAGATTAGCTGACATGTAGTTATTTTCTTCATGTTCTTGGTCAGGGAAAGCTCAAGTATGCAGGTTAACATAATCTTCGCTTCTGTTATCAATTTAAAGAGCGGATATGTCACAAATTCTAATATCATCTGCAGAAGTATGCAATTCTTTTTCGTCTCTCATGGAATTAGGCTTTTGGTTTTTTAGATCAAGAAACACACCACCCCATATAGCAACAGAAGGCATGATTAGCTTGTAACAAAGAGGAAAATTGCTCAAAAGTGAACCAGTGAGGGGGAAGGCACTAATTACCTTGATCAGAAAAATAGAAGCAGCAAATGTATCAGAAAGGGTTAGGTTAGCTGACATGTAGTTATTTTCTTCATGTGCTTGGTCAGGGGAAGCTCAAGTATGCAGGTTAACCATTCCAGTGAAGCTCCTTCTAATTTTACATCTTTATGACTGTAGCTGTCACCAGTTAGATTGATTGTGCCAGAGCTGTCATTCATTTCAGCAGTGACATCAGAAAAAGCTTCGGAAGGATGGGAACATTCAGGGTCTTGTAGCTGGCTAGTCCAGTGAAAAATTTCTAGGAGAATCTTTCATCAAAATTTTATGCTTACCATTTACATCAGGTGTTACCATATAAGAAATGCCTTCAAACTACCAAAACCAGAAGAATAAAGTTTGATCTTTTACCAAAAAAAATAATGAAACCATATGATGCCGCTAAACAAAACAAACCACCAATAAGTAATGTATTTTACCAAATATTGCATATCATGGTCGGAATGGAAATATTAAAATATTACTATGCAACATGCTGGTCAGGTTAAGTTCTCAAAACAAATTCAGCTCTGGCAAAGACTGCAAGCAACACAGATTAATAACCATCTGCAGTATAATATTAATAGGATTTAACTGTGCTAGGCTAAAGCATTATGATGCAATTTACTGCATCCAACAAATATCAATAGCCACCATGTGCTTCACATGCAAAAGCAGTCGAAACAAAAATCATATAATCCTGATATCTCCTTACCATAGACTGAAATTTGAAGAAAAATTCTGCTATAATATATGCACACCTTTGCACAAAAAATGTAAATGTTGACCGCAGTTGTCTGCCTTCACCTGTGAGCTCTATCCTCAGCCTGTAAGAGACATGGAAGGAGAAGTAAGTCAACTTATCAAACTTGAGCAAGGTTGACTTGTGACTTGGCTTAAGAACATTAACCTGATGGTCAACCATAAACGATCATATATAGTAACAAAAAAAACCAAGTCATATAAAAAGAGGTTAAAACCATCTAACTCACTGTTGTAGCACCTATTGTAACCTCGAAAAGATATAAGTATATCTTCCCCATTAAGCGAGCCTACAACCAGACTTAAACCCTACAATAAAGACAATTAGATAGAAACTTTGTATCAATCGATGACACCAAAAGTTGTCTCCTATTTATAAAGCCAGTGAAATTAATTGATGAGAATAAACATAATTTTTTTTGTAAGAATTGGAGGTCTCTTTAAAAAACCCCTTCATAATTGTCAAAAAACTTAAAGAGGTTTAACGAAAAAAGCGGAAGGGGGAAAAGAGTACCTCAAGTATTATTGAAAAAAGGGTTTTAGATAAGCCCTAGGATTACAAAATAGAAGATAAAACCACACCACTACCTATTTCTGAGACAAACAGATTCGACCATCTTACTCACTAGAACTAACCAATCCCCATTTTTGCTAACTCGTCCACCTCCCAATCCACACTTCTTTGAATGAAACAAATTAGGTCCTCATTACACCTAACAGACTCAATTACTTTGACAATACACTCAAAACTTGAGGGACACGCCAAGGGGTCCTTAATCCACTCTAGAGCCATCCTGCAATCACATGAGAACAAACATAATGAACAAGTCACCAAAGATTCAGTCAAATGATCATAATATATAGAGAATTACAACAAAAAACGTAGAGAGTGAGAGTCTACTTTATTTATTGGCATCTATCTTACGCTCCTTGGTCCAAATTGAGAAGTTTAAGCCATTGTAACAGTACTGGCACAATCAAACCAATACACATATGATGCGTATTACAAAAAAAGATTTTCCACATGCCACATGTATTATGTAACCATTTTACGGACAACAAGCATTTGTAAAATGTAAAATACCTCACTAGCAAGAGGAACACATCCTTCAACTGATGTCACAAGACCAGGCTACGGTTGACATGTTAAGCACTACAGTTTCGGATGCCCCTGGAAGAAGAGAGTAGTACAAGCAATGAGGATCAGGGAGCAGTAATAAAAAATAAGCTTTTTCAAACAATCAACAAATCCCACCAAAGAATTTTCTTATCATCATATAAAAGGGAGACACTTGGCAGTATAATTATAAACTATAGTAACTCCAAACTAAGCATATAATGGGAAAATCATCCAAGGAACAATTAATAATAGTAATCTTCTATTTGATTTCGAAGTAAGACATTTACCACTTTAATTGTCTGCACGACAAACAATAAACCAATTCTCCCCAATGGTCACACCTGCATGACCAGCCCTTGGCTTATGTTCCTTGATGGGTTATAGCAAAATGACTTATGTCCATTGAACATATGGATTCGCATTAGGCTGAGAGGGTTGGCCGCAGAAACTAGAACCGGGTTTTGGCAGTTGACTATATGGATTAGAACTTGGCTGCACAGTGTGACCATACACATTAACCCTCGACAGTGTGGGTCGTAGCAACCAATATTACAAAATGGATCCTCAAAATATTGAGAAATCTTGGCATTTCTCCCCCTGAAAACATAAAAAAACCCAGTGACATATGTGACAAATGGTATACAGGAAAAGAGTAATTAGTTCTTACTCGCATGGTTTTTGGCAGAGTTTGCAAAGTAGTTCATCAGTCAAGGTCCAACCATGAGTACACTCTTTCTCCTTTTTACTTTAAGAGGGACCTTTTTCCAGACAACATTGGCAGGTAAAGAAACATATTTATCTCACAACATTGGTTATGATTATTATTGCTAGCAGTAGGAAAAGCCCTGTCATAGCTACTACAGAAGTTTGGCCAACCCTATCAACAAAAAATTTCAGTATGCGACATCAAGCAAAGCAAAATTGCAAGTAACATGTATCTGAAAAGAAATATCTTTCATCATGGGTAGGAATCCGAATCCCACTTAGTGCTTCTGCATAACTAGGTGCACTATTATACATCAGGAAGCTAAAAGTTAGCCAAAAACAGAACCTAATTAAGAGAAAAAATAATATGGATGAATGGATAATGAACATGTGTCATGTAATTCACCAGAAAGGAATATATCATATTACCTCCTATACACAGTAGACGACCGTGGCTCAAATACCACCACCAACTTAGACAGATTTAACTTACAATTTCTAGAGCTCCCTTAAAATCTATTTCTTTATTTGGCTGGTCATATATATATATATATATATATATATATGAATGATACTACATTGAACCATGATTTCATTTAGAAAGAACAAAAGTTTCCACTTGCTTGCCACTGTGAACTCTTTCACCCGATCCTTAATGCATGTGTCTATGTAATTAATGCATGACCTGACAGCCAAACACAAACCCTAAGAAAATGTCTGATGATGTTTCTTTTCTTCAATAAAAAAACTATTTAAATTGGAGTATAAGAAATTGGATTTAACCCATGCAAGAATTTGCTTTATGTTTCATTTTTTTTCTTTTAATTCTTGAGCAAACAGAACAGAGCAACATAATGATTCAGACGTACCATATATACTTATGCTAGCGTAGAATATGCCAGGAGCAATCTCTTATATCGCTGCAGTAAATCATTTTCCCTCATTTGGAGTTGACAATTCTAGAGGCAAAAACTGAGAGTTTGTTGATGGAGGTTGAACACTAAACATGCTAGTTGCGAAGTAAGCCTTGCCAGAGAGTACGGGACCAAAATTGCCAAAAATATTCTTACACAGCATCAAATTCATCCCAGGTCGGTTTCGAGGTCAAGTTTATGTAGATCATTCCAGTGCGTTTGCTTTGCATCCTGCCAACCAAATATTGCTAAGATTGTTCTGACGAGGGTTACAAACTGACCACCGCGAGCCACCTGCAATACACTGAAATTAAGGTGAAAAACTCCTAACTATTGGCAAAGAATTTTCATAAAAAATACTACCATAAAGGGGCAGAAAACTATATAAACACACATATGCAGTCCACATTCTTGCTTCACAAGGTTTACCTCCTGCCTTTGTTCAAGCATACCAATATGTCTGTAAATTTTCAGCTAAACATTGTCTTTCAATCAAGATTCTATTATTTAGTTTTCAGTTTCTTATATAACTTATTCGATTGAGCGAGAAACGGTAATTGGCATTAAAAAAATCCAAAAGCTGGTCTATTTTTTTGTGAATACCACAACAACCATGAACCTGCTAGTTTCTAAATATAGTTCTGTAATTTTTTCTAGTTGGTAAAAGGGAAAGAAAAATAGTTAACCGATAGAAAAGACAAATACTGATGCTTTTCCACAAGGTTTCAACATTGACCATGTGCCGGTTTGCATATCAAATGTTTTCACTGCCATAAGAATACAGAACAGTAGAATTAGAAACAAGGGAAAGATGCAGAAAAAATAGTTTCAAATTTTCAAATAGTTATAAGGGGAAAGAACAAGTAGTCTGGATAGTTTCAGAAGGATCCTTTGAAAGGCCAGCAATTGAAAGGAACTTGTTCTCCCAAGGTATCTATCAGGAAAATAGAAGAGAGGGAGGGAGAGAATTAAATAATATAACTACAGAAAGACAACCGGAGCGAATTCAAGAACTTTGAGCAAACAACGATAAAGAAGCGATAAAAATAATTTGTTTTTCAATATTCCATTTGTATAAAAACAATTTTGAAATGAAGTAGAAAATTCAAATAACAAAATTCAATAAAGCAATAAAAATATGGAAGGATAGACTCAAATAACAAAACAGCAGCTAATGCAGTAGAAAATTCAATAAAGCACATACTAGTAAAGGGAGTTGGGACTTTTTAAACTCAAAATGGTATTTAATTCACTGAAAATAAAAATTTGATTGACAACTTTAAGACGATGGATCTAAAACAAAATATCAAAATCCCTAACAAAAACCATATAGATCCACGAGTTTAAGAGGACAGATCTAAAACAAGTCGTCGTTTATTTCAAACCCTCTCAAATTCAATCTACGCTCTTTTAACAAAAAGATTTAGCCCTGTGATTTTAAAATTTTATTTCGGTTCCGATTACAAATTTCTTCTAACTTACTGATTCTCGTAGCTGACGATCAATACTTCTAACATAAATTCATAGCCAAACTTGAATTCTTTCAAAAACCCAAACCACATAGACAGCCAAATAAATCCATCGATTTCCCTTTATTTCATAACCAAAATGTTTAGAGCCCTAGCAGACGCAGAAAACTACGTCTCCAAAGAAAACCCAAGAAAAAATGCAACAAATCAGAAAAGAAAACGGAACCCGAAGGTCTATTAGGCAGAGTGCTCGGGTTAAATGTTATGCGATTCGTGATGGCGGACGACTTGGCAAAAGGGTTTCCACTGAAACTCCTTCTGGTTCGGACCAATCTCCGGTTTTGACTTGGTATCTTCCATGGCTAGGCTTTACACATTGTAGAATGAATCAGAATATCGAACTGGCTCATTTAATTAACATAAGCATCACACTTTTGAGGTACTAACTACAAGTAGCAATGTCAAAGCTTGTTGCTTTATAAGTGGAAAAGGCATAGGACCCTGCAGCTGCTACTTGCTGGTAAGCCTCCGTGGAAAATAACTTTATAAAAATATTTTAAACAACAATAGAATAATTTAAATTAATTTAATTTAAGAATATATTAATATAATTTAAATTAATATTGAATATATTACATACCACAGATTTCGAGTCTCGAGTGTTCTCCTTGCCATGATCAGGCAAAGAAGCTAGACTTTCTCAACTAGTGGAATGGCTTCGAGGAAAATCTGGAAATTAATAAAAACAAACAAAGAACAGTACGTCAGAACCATAACTAGCACTGTTTGCTTCCTAAAAATCTCGATTGCAACTCCTCTAACTATGATTCTTTCTAACTTCCTATTAGAACTCAATTCAATTTGAAACAGCTCTCATAGTTCAAAATGTGTATTTTCTAAACATGCAGTGACCCCTTGGTTAGATGGGAAAACTGCAATCTCAATCCATCCCAATATCAAAATTTAAAACTTTAAGCCCTTCTTGTAACTCTCCTTGTTAACATGGAAAATTTGTAATTTTAGACCCTCTCAAAATTTAAAATCTTTTTAACAAAAAGATCTGACCCTGCGATTTTATAATTTTATTTCGGTTCCAAATACAAATTTCTTCTAACTACTGATTCTCATAGCTGACAATAAATATTTCTAACAAAAATTCATAGCCAAACTTGAATTCCTTCAAAAACCCAAACCACAGAGACAGCCAAATAATGCATCGATTTCCCTTTATTTCATACCCAAAATGTTTAGAGCCCTAGCATACGCAGAAAACTACTTCTCCAAAGAAAACCCAAGAAAGAAAGCAATAAATCAGAAAAGAAAACGGGACCTGAAGGTCTATTAGCCCTGCGATTCGTGACGACGGACGACTTGGCAAAAGGGTTTCCACTGAAACTCCTTCTTCTGGTTCGCACCAATCTCTGGTTTCGACTCGCTATCTTCCATGGCTAGGCTTTTCGCATTGTAGAATGAAACAGAATATCGTCCAAGATTTGTTTTCTTGGTGATGTGTTATCTTCGAAGCGGCAGATATCGTCGGCGACATGAAATTCTTCTTACCTCTGCATCGATTTCTTTTTATTTCATACCCAAAATGTTTAGACCCCTAACCCTAACAAACACAAATAATTACATCTCTAAAGAAACCCCAAGATAGAAAGCAAAAAACCTGAAAAAGAAAACGAACAGACTTTTATAAAAAATAATGTAACCGCCAGCTTTTATTTTTAAAAGAAAAGACTTTGGGATTTCGACCGTTGGCTTAGGATAAAATCATTGGCGGCGCCTAAATTATTATTTTTATTTTGTTTTGGTGTCTAAATTTTATTTTTTTTTAAATTATATTTAATGTTTAGTTTAATTTTTAGTTTAGTACATCACCTTTAAAAAACTAACAGAACTGCTAACATTATATTTTTATTTTCTATTGATAATGTGGCATTACTTTATGGTGACATATCGACACTGTTAAGTTTTTAACGAAGAATACCAAAATGAAACATAAACTAAACCTTAGGTATGCTTTTGAAAAAAATAAAGTATGTGTATCCCAACTATCACTTTTGTTCTATTTTGGTCACCTATTATTTTTTTCAAAATTATACATAATGTTACATTTTTGTTTTATTTTGATGACACGACATTATCTTAGGGTGACATATCAAAATCAATGTTACATTTTTAATGATGAGTGGTAATGAAACTAAAACTAAACTCTAAGTATGATTTTTTTTAAAAAATCATACTTAGGTGATTTAAAAAAAGTAAACTATTAGTTTTTTTTCTCTCGTTTTAACGCCTAAACTTTTAAAACTATACCCGACGTTTATTTTTTTTGATTCATTTTAATATCTCGTTGTTAAAACCTTAACGGAACTGCAACACATTATATTTTTACGAGTAAATTACATCATTCGTCACTTAACTATATTTTCACTCTTATGTTGGTCACTAAAATTTAAAAAAATTAAATTTAACTACTCAACTTTCAAATTATTAATGTTTTAATCACTCTAATTTATTTCATTAATACTTTTGCGGCATGACATTGTTATTATTATTTTTATTAATATATAATTAAAATTAAATTAAATTAAATTCAAAAGTTAAAGTGATTAAATTAGAAGTAATTTAAAAGTTAATTCATTAAATTAAAAGAACTTTAGTGACCAAAATAGGAGTGAGAACATTGTTGAGTGAGGAATGATGTAATTTACCCATAAAAAAGTGTTATGTTGTAACAGTATCGCTAAGTTTTTAACAGCGAGATACCAAAACAAAACAAAAATAAATGTTAAGTATGATTTTAAAACAAATGAAAGTTTAAGTACCAAAACAAAACAAAACTAATAATTTAAGTACGAAACATATAACTTGCTCATATTTAATTATATTACTCATTTTCTATGTTACACCTAATTATTTATAATTTTCAAATTCTTTTTTTAGAAGTTAATGCATGCTTAATCTCCTTTGGATCCATTACTTCTAAAATGTTATAATAATAAGATGATTCTTGTGTACTCAACAAGGGACGATGAACACCAATAATGATGAGCATCCATAAATTAAATTATAAAATGATAAAATTATAAGGTAC